ATCATTGTCATGGAAGTTAAGGCAGATCATGGGGTGGGGGCCTATGCAGAGTACTCGTTAAGGAGGTTTAACCTTGTTAAGGAGAATGGCTCAAGCAGCATGGGGAAGACACTGTAGCAACCAGAGAGCCCCGTGTATATACCTTGAGATGCTAGCATGGCACCTGCGGTCTCTTGGAAATCCAGTAGTTGTTGCAGGAAAAGAATGGCCTGTAAGAGAAGGGATGGGTAAATCAAAAGCAATTCAGTTGGGTTTCTCTTCAAATCACTAAAAGATCATTAAAAGATGCCCCAACAACAAGTCAGCCAAAAAAAAAAAATCAACTGGAAATAAACTTCAGTTGTATTGGAGCTTCTTCACGGTCTTGAACCTTCTCAGATTTTAAAGCACTTTATGAACTGACAGGCAGGTACCAATTATACAAAAGTAACCTGTGAAGTAGCCACCTCCAGTACCCAGACTAGGACAGCAAACCAAGAGGAACAACGCACCCAGTGGAAGGGTTTATCTACACTGGGAAGTTTATTTGGAGGAAGGAAGTGGGTACAAACAAAGTAGCTGCTTCTGATTAACTCCCTGTGTAGACACTTTTATCTTCAGAATAGCAGTACATTAGAGCAAGTGTCCATACAGAGAGTAGCTAATGAGGAAGAGCTATTTCAACACAATTCTGCACGTAGGCAAGCTCTTAACTACAGCCTGCAACCAAGCTTTAATATTATACCTGGAAATTTAGTTGAGATGCTGGGTTAACCCTTTCCCTTATAGGAGCAGCCACTGAACACACAATGTAAGAGCGAGTAGGAGTTGGGTTTCAGTCCTTATGAAAGGAAACAAGGCATCTCCCTCAGTAGTGTAAAGCCCTTAGCAGCATGCTAAGGCACCGATTCCATAAAAACTCCCATCCATGTCCCGATCAGGCCCACACACTGCTTAAGAGAATTACTTTAGCCCTGCTAACTGCTGGCTAAACGCATGTCACGTCTCTGCAGTCTCTCGAGTATTTTAAGTTCAGGTGTCCAAGTTCTGGTCTGGTACTGGCAGACCCTCAAACAGCTCTCACATGCCACAACACTGTCTTATGACCCTGGGAAAGAAGCCAAGGCAGGAATCTAGAAGCCAGGGAATCTCACCTTTTAATAGAATCCAATCAATCCCTGTACCAATAGCAAAGACAGCCTCATTTAAACAAATACATTTCTGTTGAAACAGAGATTTGCTCTCTGTAGGGCTGGTGCCAACAGTGAAAAAGAGACATGAGTTTTACCCAAGATGTTTCAAATCACTGTCACGTACATTGCTAGTGAGTTCATGAACTGTCCCATCTTTTGGCATGTTATACTCCTTGTCTGGATCGTTCTAAGAAGGGAGGAAAGTGAGAAACGCAGATAGATTGTTTAGTGGAGATAAAAGGCAAATGCATACACAATGTAACTCTTCTTCAGGCAAGTTTATTACAGGGCTGTGTTTCCAACATTTCTCAATAACGTCCTTAGCGCTAAGGCTCACAACCCCATCAACTGGTTATCACAGGCTACAGCTGGTATCACAGTAGCAACAGCAGGAAAGAGCCAGCTAAAAAGGTAAAACAACTTGCCTGCATATAACCTGGCAGATTTAAGACTGTTACCAGATTCAAGGCTTAATTAAATTTGTGGATAAAACAATCATTTAGCCGTAACTTTCCCTTTGACTAGAGACCGTTTAAGAATTTTGATGCAAAGAAAATGTCGCCTTGGCAATTTTGCGTTAAAAAGAGATGATCTCCGATGGCACCTTGAACATGCATTCAGACACAGCTGCCTCTGTAAAATGACTTGCAGACTGTATTGGATATTTTGTGGAGAACTGCATTATGTGTAGGCTTGGTTATAATATTTGAGAAGCAAGGAATAAAACAGCTACCAAGTCAGCACTCAGGAATTTGCATTTCTCTTGTAGCTGAGGCAACAAAGCACCTGCTCCACTCTGAAGGCTGGTAAGGGAGCCATCTTGAATACCAGAAACAAAAAAACTCGGGTCTCTGCCTGTTAATGCAATAGCTACATGGCTTAGTTTAGAGCTTGTTTTAGGTTACTGACAGGGAATCTTACCTTAATGTTGTCCGCAAAGTCTTCCAGTGCCTTAGCCCCTGTGGTCTCCATGGAGGTGATCAGTCCTGGAAGTTTGTTTTTTGTGCTGGCTGCAGTGCCCTGGAACAGCCCAGTACATAAACATGACAATGGATGCTGCTACCTGCCCTTCTGCCTACTAGTCAATAGGCCTGTGCGAAGTGGCTAGTATTCGCTTCGGATTAGGCCAATTCGGGGGACAGTGATTTGAATCAGTCCCGATTTGATTCGGCCGAATCTCTGAATCAGCCAGGCCAGGCCCATCCCTCGCCCCTCTCCCAGCCCGGCCATGGCTGCCCTGCCCACCCCAGCTCCCGGCACTTGGGGAAAAAGAGCCCTGGCAGGTGCTGCCAGGCAGGGGAGCAAGAGGGTTGAAGGGGCTCATGCAGAGCCCCCCATGCAGCATGGGGCAGTGGGGGTTGCCTCCCGCCCAGCAGCACCCGGTGAGCACCAGGGCTTTTAAAAAGAGTACTGAGCTGGGGTGGGCATGGGTCCCCCCATGGTCCCCTCCCCCCTCCCCTAGTACTTACCAGCTTGGAGTGGCTGCAGCTCCCTGCTGCAGTCACCAGGGACTGCCCAGATCATCAAAGCTCTCCGAATCTTTGCCAAAGATTCGGAGAG